CAGGACAGAGCTTCACCACTACAGTGGTGGTCCAAAATTTCCACCCCAAATTGCTGGGAAGGGTGAGGAAGATGCAGGAACCAGTCAAACTGGAACAAGAGAGCTTTAAACAAGTCATGCTACCTTAATCTCAAGCCGTGAAAATTTTATGTTCCAGTGAAACCATCTCCAGTACAAATCCTACTTGTTGCTCTTCCAGTGGCACAAACAACTGAAGTCATTCCGTGATGGGCACAGCAAGGTTTGCACTGTCTGACCTCACACTACAGCACTTAAAGCTCAGCTGAGATGCAGCCCCTCCTTTCCACAGCTCTCCATTATCACAAGCCCAAACCCCCCAGGTTATTCCTGACACAGTCCAGGAAGCTGCAAACTGAGACACTGCACAGCCTGGATCCCTGTGGGAAGCCAAGTGGAAGCATATGGGGAAACGCAACATTCCCAAGTTTAACACTAGTCCTGCTGATCCCTGCACCTTCCTCTGCTTTCAGAGGGCACCCACGTTCAAGCAGAACCAGCTCTAAAATATTGATTCAGAGCAGATGTAGTTTAAAGAGAGCTTACAAGGAAAGCATTTTTTGATCCTTTTTCTTTTTACCCTCTGCAGGGAGAGCATGAAAACAAAAAGCAACATTAAGTCATAAAAAAATAATTGTTGTAGTCCTCAGCAATTTTTAAATTCCCCTTCCTTCACTAAACATCTGGGGTTTGTTAGAAAACACTATAAAATGATTTTCCAAAACCTTTGACATGCATTCTGGTCAATAGGTCCCAAAAGCTCAGGAAGGAGAGTTTCAAACCAAGTAAGAGTTGTTATTTATGAAGCCTTACTGGTGAAATTGGTCTAATCCTTCTGTCTGACCATTCCCTGCTACTGAAGGGCACAGGGACAGGAAGTCAGCAAGTTAAGGTGATGCTCTTTTAATAGAGAAAAGGACAGTACACCCAAGAAACTATTATTCAAGCAGACTCAGTGTGATGAGCCAAGGAAAAGCTGTTCCTCCACAGCCCAGGACTCTGGAGATACCTGTGCCATTAAGTTACTTCAGAACAAATTAGTGCTCCACGAACTGATTAGACCATAAATAAGCCCAGTAGGAAAGAGGGAAGCCACTGACAGGCACAGCAGCTGAGCTCTACAGCTCTAACTCACAATGAACACCACAAAGCTGCCAGTGCCAAAGGGATCTCTGGTCCTTTTACTCCCCATTCAAAGGATGTCAAAGCAGATGCAGTATCTGATCACAAGAATTCTATACTTTCATTTTCTCTCGTCACTCAAAGCACAAATTGCAGCTCTGTCCCCGACCTAATAATTATTGGTATGGCTGCATTTTGTTCTCTTCCAGCAGCAGCAGGAAACTTGATTGGAGCTGCAGGAACCCAGGCAGTGACTGCACAAGCTGCTGTTGTGATAGCACAAAGCAGAAGCCAACTCGGCAGGTAATTGGACTTGAAGTCGGAAAAGATCTTCCCCAGGCAGCTTGAAATAGTAATTTCATAGGGGAGAAAATAGGTTGGCTTTATCCACCACAGGTTACCAAAGGAAAACTTTGATCCTAAGACAGACAGACATAATAAATACCAAGACATACCACTATAAAAAGGTAATAAAGGTGGGGTTTTTTGTAGTCTGCAGCAATTCGAAAGGTATTTGCAACCTTCTGTGGGGTCAGTATTAAGAATGGAATCACTCAGGCACCAAAGCAAAACATTCCTTCTTAGAAAGGAGTACTTCCAGTGCTTGATTCCCTTGCCCACAGACTTAATACTTTGGAAAGTCTCAAATCCCATATACACTGTTGCAGTCATGCTTCCAGAGTAATCCTAGGGAATTCTAGAGGGCTACTGTCAACTGTTCATGCTTCCTAATGCCATACTTCAAGCAATTCAGATGCACACAAAGCTCCTTCTTCATTTCTCTAAACTCTACACCCATGGAAGTAATTCCAAAGCATTAGAAACCAATAAGGAAATCTAAATGCACACAGGCCTGATGTCATGGGGGTTACATGATTAGAGTGTCCAGTAAAACCAGTAAACTCAGTGTTAGTGCCAGCTGCCAGCACCCCACTCATATGGGACTGGGGGGGAGGTCTTTCTCCCACTGTTCCACAAAAAGAACTCCAACTAACAACATCCAACAAGGAGTTAGTGATGGCTGAGAAGAAAGAAAGAGGAGTGAAGATCCACGTGTGTAAACCTAATGGTCCACTGAATCAAAAAGACTGGATGTGCATTGGAACATGAACACCTCTGCTCAGCAGAAATTGGAATCATACAGTTTTCTTTAGATAGCATATTATTCACCTACTTAAGATCTGTAAGAAAGATATACTGTTCTTAAATATTATTCCACAGTGATATTAAGCTGGTTTAGCTTTCACTCACAGACATCTGTTTCCCTGTCAGACATGTACCCCCAACCAAAAAAAAACAAACCCACCACAAACCCCCAAAATATAAAAATCCCTTAAGAAAACCTCTCATATCCCTCCCAAAACCTAGTAAACTCCGGTTCAGCATTCCAGCACTCCCAGGTGACCCTGTGACATGATGATTTTGAAACAAACTCTCTAGTTCAGCAAAGGAGATTATTAAAATCTTGGATTCATACACAGTTAACGAAGACTCACAGTCCCTCACTCCCCACCCCTGACATGTACACAAAGAAACTCCAGACAGCATAAGAGTTTTAAGCTTCCTTTCTTACCTTCCTTTCTCACAGCAAACACAATTTTGAGAATGCTGAAAAAAGTTTGTCTTAAACAGTGTGACTTCTGTGAAAAACGGGATACCAGAAAATCTCCTGACTGCTGCCTAAGCACAGAGTTAACAAAACAGGTTTTAAAGGGAAGTGCATAATGTTGAAGAGGTGCATCCATATTTTAACAATACTCTGAAAAAACCTGAGACTCATTACCCCATGCAGTGCTTTCCCCTCAGACACACCCATATACCCAAACAATCCTAAGTTTTCTCCAGCACCTCAGAAGGCAGAGTGGCAAAAAACCAAGCTTTCAGTGGAAGAAACAAAAGGCCCTGATTCATATGCAATTAGCTCAGCTAAATTTACTACTGAAGCCATTGCTACCCCAGCTGTCCTTGACACCTGCACAGCAGGGAAAATGGGACGTGACAAGCAGCCTCCTGCCATTTATTGCAGTTTTCAGGCTTAGAATTGGTGACAAATACAGTTCCTCAGCTGCTGCATTAACACAATTAGCACAAAACCAGCCCTGCACCTTATTCCAGTATCCACATCAGAGACAAAACCAATGGAGACAGTCAGTGCCTCGCCCACCTCTGCTAAATCCACCACCCAAGAAGCACCAGTGCTCTAAACATAACATGTGTCTTCCCACTCCAGATTTAGCTTGCAGTGACAGACAAGCAGAGCAAAACAGAAAACTGGTATCTGAAAAGTTAGAAGGAAGGATATAAAGGGAGAAAACTTGTTAATATCCTGTGCAGCACAAGTTCCCACTGTTTTACCTTCCTTAAATACGAGTTAGACTGAAAGACTGAGAGCAGAACTAAACTTTTGAGATCAAGTTGTTATTTTCTAAGAACCAAGTAGCTCACTCTTTATCAGCCTGTGTTTCTGCAATCACTGACACAAGTTGTGTGCAGAAACCATACCTAGCAAAATGATTTAGGCTCTGGTGCCTAAGATGTGAGAAAAGCCTATGACAGCATCTTAAAAATAGAAGAGTCCTCTCTGTGCATGGAAAGAGCTCTCACTGAGATCCTCTGCACCCCTGCTCTGGCACACACCCACCAGCCTTGCCCCAGACAGCAGTATAAACACATAAAAGCTCTTTTATTAGGGTTCAGAGAAAGTGCAGAAGAATCCATTCAACTTGACATATCTACCTGAATCCAAATCCTGGGAGGACGGGCTTTCACGTCCCAGCCCCTGTGCTATCTTTATAAGGGCACTAATTTGTACAGCACACATATTTTATCTGCACTGCAAAAACACCACAGATGAACATTAACCAGATTCCTTGTGCTGTCTGCCAGGTGTTTAAATATTTGGCAACTCAAATACTGCAGTCTAAATGCTTCAGATTATCCAGTGAGAACACGGGTACATTTCCAGCCACTATGTAAAACACATTTTTTCCCCATTTGTTACATTTTAAGCAGTAGACTGGAGTTACCAACACAAACATCACACTACAGGTCTATTTTGAAGGTCGAGTTTATTAACTCACAAAAGCTTTCACTGAAAAATATGCACAGAAACTTCTAATCCAAAAGACTCCCCATTTATCTGCACTAGGCAGGCGCTGCACAAAGGATTCTGCAAAGAAAACAAGCTCTGATATTGTATATTTTGATAAGTTTAGGTGTATACCAACCATTAGAAAACATAATCCCACACTACGTATTAAACAACATCCTTCTCTTGGTCCAAGTTAGACAACACATTTCTGAGCAGCGTGAAGATCCATGACTTTCTGAAGCTTGAAATATATTCCACCACCAGAACTTTGACCTGGACAGCTCTATACATTAATATATTACTACGTTAATATATTTACTGCTTTTCCTCCTTCACTCACACTAAACTTCAGGTAAAAACTTCCACAGTATCATTATGAGCAACAAAAATGAAAGGCCCACAGGGATCATGACATTTTTTTATAGCATGTCAGTTATCTTCCTGAGGAGGAAAGAGATATTACTCCAGTGAGAAAGACATTAAAATACTTTTTCTGTTTTTATCACAAAAGCAGTGACAGCTTTCTGAACAGGGGCAGGAAGGTCAGATTATCTCACACCTGAGCTTATAGGCTATTTTAAACTGGTAACTGGATTAAAATTAAAGCCATATACCCTCAGAAAGAAAACCCCCTGCAGCCTCTTCATCAAAACAAATGTATCCTACTACCACAGAACAAACCCACAGCAAGGCAAATCAGCAGTAACACACGAGGAATTCTCCACTCGGGATCATCAGAAAACCAGGATTTGTCCCCCCTGTGCCATACCTTTGATGCTTGAGGAGTAGAGATGACATGAACAGTGCTGGGTCTAACTCCATTGGCCTTGGGTCGCTTATAAAGGGCAAATCTGCTTTTCCTGCGTCCTCTGTCACCATTCGGGAGGGATCCATTGTACCTGGAAATAAACCACAACAGCTGAGCATAAACCACCACCAGTCTGGAACATGGAAAAGGAGGGACTGGACGTGTGGCCACAGAGGAGGAGAGTGGTAATTCTGGTATCATCAAATGCACAGGCAAAACAAGTCCCAGCCCTGCTAAGTTGTGTTTCCTGAATTATGAGCGTTCAAACATTCTTTACCTACCAACGGTTGAAATTCTGTTCTCATTAAAAAGGTAATTAAATGAACTACTACAAATGAACTACTAAGCTGTTCAGCCACAGAAATACTTCTTTGCCTCTAGAATCAAAGGAATTTGGAATAACACCCTACATCTTCACTAATTCAGAACAAAGGGAGTTTTACAATGTTTTTACCCTATCAGCCCTCTTCAGACATCTCATACAGGAATGGGGCCAACCCAGAAAAATAAAGTAAATAGGGGCAAATAAAACTGTGTGAAAAGGAATTTTACTCATACAAAAAAGCTTTTCCTCATTGTTTCTCCCCCTCCCTTTTTTTTTTAAAAACTCTTAATCCTAAAGGCTTCATCTATTATTAAGGGAAGAGGATGCAAGTGTTTTTAATTTATGTGACTATCTGAAGCCTCACTAATGACTTCCTTTATCAGGTGTAACACAGTAGCCTTCCACAGTTCTTTCATCTCTCCCTGAGGACACAAGACCCAGAGGATTAATTATTCAGAGAAGTCTTAAGCCTCAAGGGGACACAGCTCCTTCCCCAGGGAAGGGATCAACTGGAAACTTCTTTGCAATGCATAAGCACGGAATTCACCTCCACCTCACCCCAAGATTTAGGTCAGGTTGATGCTTCCCCCCACAGCACTGTCACCTGTGACATTCCTGCCAACTCCCAGCTGGTCCGGGAACAGCTCTCAGGGCAGAACATGGAAAGGAGAAGCAAAAGGCAGCAAGGCAGAAACACAGAATCTTTTATTTTCTTATCGTAACATCCTGAATATGTAACTAAGTGGTTTGTGTAACAGGAGAATGCACTTGGAGAGCTTCTCTCCTTCTGCAAACAAACGGGGAACAGGGAGTGGAGGAAAGCAAGGGGTGTCATTGCTGAGGCTCTGCAGAAGGTTCAGTGCTCACTCCAGGCAAGCATCACCTGCTGGGACACAGGGAAACAGCTCCCAACTTCACATGCAGGGATCCCAAATGCAGGACAGCTGAATGTTTGAGCAAGAACAGACGTAAGATCAAAAAATCATCTCAAATCTAAGCAGTTCAGAACATAAAACCTGGACCTTTTAAAAATACACATTTATTACATGATGCTAAAGCCACACAGAAAGTTGAGACACTTTCAGCTGGGCTGAAATTGGACTTGTCCTCTCATTCCCACTTTCATAGGGAGACTACGGAATCTTTCTGGAATATTAAAGGAGATTCCCTGACACAGCAGGAAAACAACAGGAGTAAATCACTATTATTTCACGCCAGACCTACATGTACCTTGGAAACTTGTTATCAGCCCTACACCAGACAAGAGAGGCACAGCAGATCCTCATCACAAGAGCCCAACCCCTACAAAGATACATCAATATGATCCACAGGCAGCTTAAATACCAGCACTTAAAATAGGAGTTATTTGATTCTCCAACTTCAATCTCCCTGGATATACACACATGTTTTCTTTCAAAGGCACTGTATTACCAGGAATATGCCAGCAAGTTTTAACTTGCCTGAAGACAACATTCCTTCTACAAGTATTTTTATCTGAAAACCTAAGAAAGCAATAATTCCCTCAGAAATAATGTGTAGTGACTACATATTACCACTGCTAGCTTTACATTCTGTAATTATTATTTTTTTTAATATTTGTGTAACTGTTAAGTGATACTGAATTAAAGCAGTTCCAGTTAAAACCAGGCAAGTGGGGTTTTATTCTCATGTTCACAAAATTTCAACTGGGAAAGGCTACTCCATTTCATTTCAGTCTCTGTGGGGTTTAGTTACTTTTAGGAGAGAGAAAGAAGCTCCTCAAGGTTAAAAGACCTTTTGGAAACTTTAAATAGGAAAGAAATCCAAGCAAAGCGAAAGTTGAATTCATTCATCCTGATTAGCACCGACAAATTTTCAGGAGGGTTCTCTCCTCCTGCCAATTTCTGAATTTCCTTTCCACAAAAGGGCAAGAGGAACTGAGTGGTGGTTTTATGATTTGTTATGCTTTAATTATAGACCTGCAGGTTTTATTTTGCTCTGACAGTGGCAGAAAGAGCTGGGACAATTAGTAGGCACACATGTTTTAGAGGAAAAAAAAAAAAAGAAAAAAGGGTGTCAGAGAACTTGCCTCTTTTCACAGCTGGCACATTCCTGCATTTTTCCTAGGCCAGGACTCTCAGCTTGTTCTCCACAAACCAACCCTCCCCGTGGCACTGGGGCCACACCTTTGCTTCCCACTTCTTCAACAATATATGCCCAGTGACCCGGCAGTAATGCCAAGGGATCTTCCCAGCCAGGGCAGGACCTGCCCCACTCCTGAGGCACAGCCCGTTCATCTTGGCCCATCCCTGCTTTTCCAAAAGGAGCTGTCCCACTGGATTCTGCAGGAATACAAGCATGGCTGCCCATACCTTTGCTGAGTCAGCTTTCCTAAGCACAGGCACAAGGAACTACAGCCAAAAAGCAGCCTCCAGCCCTCTCCTCTCCTTCACTTCCCTCAGCTCTTCTGAGCAGCAACAACTTCCTCCTTCGGAGCACCAACAGGATGGAATGGCACAGGAAGAGAAGGGACAAGCACTGAGGCCACAAATTCCCCAGACACTGGGAGACTCCAAGCTTCCCCACAGCCAACAGGAGCTTCCTCTCACAACTCCTCAGCAAGCATGAGCCCATTTCCCTTCCCCCTTCCAATAATTCCAGAAGCAGCTTCGGGACCAGCACACGAGCACACCAACTGTTTGCTTCACAAGAAGGCCAGTGCTGCCCCTCTTGTTCCAGAAAACCTGCAGGTGGAATTCTCCTCTGCCCCACCAAAAAGCCCAGAACAAATGTTGTTTCCAACTAATAAACCAGGGGAAAAAAAAAAAAACAAATTTCATAGACACAGAACAACAGTTTCTGAGACCATCCCGCTCTCACGTGGGCACTGCTGGAGTTCTCCATGAGTTCATCTGATCAACATATGTGGAAGGAACAGTCCTGTACTTCTTCCAAATACCTCTCAGTGACAGCAATTCCAGGACAACCTGCATTATGAAACCTCCTGGGATAATCATCTCAGTTGATAGCAGCACCATTCCTTGCAAATAAGGGAGTGGTGCTGGCAGAGGCCATGGGCACCCTCATTACCAAAGCCAGTTTCCTACAGATTTACATCAAACACTTGAGGACTTTGGTACATAATGAATTGCAAACTCCAATTAAGCTTTTCCCATGGTTGGGATATGTAAGGAAAGCCTCTCCTCCACATGGATTCATGGCTGTCTGGAAAGCAAGACCACACATGTTCTCTCCCACGGTCCACTGTGGCAAGTTCCTATTTTCCACAAGTCTTGTACTACTTGTACTACTACTGGAAGTACTTGACTACTTCAGAGATCAAGCTTTGAACTGTTTGTCAGATGGCTTGTTACACAAGCTTTTTTGGTTTATGTTTATTTTGGGGTTGTTTTTAAAAAAAGAATCTGGCCTAGACAGTGATAAAGAGTAAACAAGACCTCTGCTATTTGGGACAAGAGCTCTAAATCTTGACCTGCACCTTGAAAAGTTCAACTTAAGAAAGTTACCCTAAAAATTAAGGTGAATATCCACTACCTGACAGAGAAAGTGCTGTATGGAGCCTATCTTTTTAACAATGCTATCAAAATACAAACTATCATAAAACTTTAATACTTTCCATCTATCTCCTGAAAAACTACAAGCTGAACAATTCCTAATTTTCACAGGTAATACAGCTCCTGGACAAACAGGAGTCATTTTACTTTGCTTTCCTTGTCTACCACTAGCAGATCTACTGCACACCTTGACATTTTTAGATGAAAACCATCCCATTTCAGACTTCACTGTAAAGAGGTGACGTGCCACAGTTCAGTTCTTACCACAGCTCTGATGAGTCAAAGAGCACATCTTTGCTTACTAAACAATAAAACTGCAGAAGTAAATTCAGACTTGAGGGAATTTTCCCTTTTAAGTACATTCTGATCCCATATTTGGTATAATGCTGTAGTACACACTCAGTTTGTGTGTTTTTACCATCCCTGACCCAGCCTTGTCCAACCCCACTGCCCAAAGCAGCAGTCTCACCTTTCATCTGTTTGTTCCTGCTACATCTCTCCCTGGTTCACATGAAGGGGAAGCAAAACTGGATTTGTGCTTTAAATTTAGTTTTAAGCCATATAAAGCCACAGAACCACTTATATCAGCAACATGGGAAAACAGCACAGAGGGCAGGGGAGATTCCCTTGGAAGAACTGAGAGTCTCCAGCTCTCAAGGCATCTACAACATTAAAAAGTTAAAGACACATTAATCACCTTTGCAATCCCCAGCTCCAGAGCTTTTCAAGGCTGTACACTCAGGTCCTGACTAACTGGGAAACTCTTTTCTGCTGAAGCATCCAGTCCTTCCTTCTTTGGACACACATTAAAAGGGGAAAAAAAGCCACATGTTTATAGTTTACAGCAAAACACAGAAAGCTTCAACATATACAACACTGACAACAAAGTGAGTGACCTTGTGCTTCCTTCTGTGCAATATCACTGCCAGTACTTCAGGCTCTTCACACACACCCTCTCCCCTTGTATCACACTGAACAATTCATTTTGTATCCAGAACTGATGGACTGTTTCAGCACAATAACTTGAATGGTTATGGATTTTCTTACTTTTTCAGAAAAAAACAAGAATTACTTCAAATACATTTTTCTGCACCAGAGCTTCAGAAAACAAGCAGGTGCTGCCTGCCAGTTATCTGAGAATTCCAGTGAGACAGAACAGTGAAGTTATTCTCAAACTTAATCTCATGGGGAAGAGCTGCCAAATAGGAAAAG